TTAAGTTTTTTGTTCATTGCAAAGCGCTTTTTGCATTGGATCCACGGCGCGAACATAGCTATATAACCAACGCAGATAACTACAATGGAAGCACCATACCTGTTTTAAAGTCAGCAATAGTCAATACGTGAATCTTCAACTTGAAAATCATACGTTAATCTGCCATGGTCATATGTGGTAAAGATATCTCCTTAGGTTACATTCTCAAGTTTGTGGACTACTCATAGCCTTAAATATATATTGTCAATATTCGGTGACTTTACTTCCACAAGTGGGGCATATTAAAACGATAATTTATATACAATAACAACTCTAAGGTATACTTTAGGTGTTAAATTAGGTATTATTTCAGTTGGTTAGAGAGTGTTAAAGTTTCAGTTGGGTAGGGAGTGTTAAAGTAATCACTGCTTTGTGAACATAATACATTGTCCTTGTCTCAAGAAATTTAACAAGTCATGAAAATCCGTCTATATCTGATTTGGTTATCTAGTAATGGTACGTATTATTACAATATCTTTCTAGTATCTAGTATCTAGACCAGATCTCTCCCCAAATATAATTGACTGGCCCGTATCGAGAAAAACGACAACTTAATTATTGTCAATTATCGTAAAAATAGTTAAATACAACCAGAGCGTGATTCTTTGAAAGTTCGAGAAAAAATGAGCGGTATCCAAAAACATTTTTTTTAAAACAATGAGCCTTAATGTATGTTTGTTGAAAGAACAACCAGAGTAGGGTATAACGGTAGACAAGAGTTCATAAAGTCATTGTTACCATGGAAACAAGTTCTGGTATCCCGAACCATATATTTGCATTTCCCTCTGACTGTCCGAATTTGTACTTTGTACATTTGTACCCATGCTCGTTTAATTTATCAACGTGGCTGACCTCAAAGTTGTTTCTGTTATTGTGTTACAGATTCTGTTATTGCATATGTGCTGTTTGGGACGTGTGAATTTGTCACATTCTGGATCATCGATATTGCAAATATATTCGGAGATGGATGGATGAAGATAAAATATTACAAACATCCTGAGGTCGCCGATACAGTATGGAAGACAGTGCAAAGAAATACATTTTCTTTTCTAGGCAGACCTACGTTCACAGTGACGCTTGGACCGTATGACCCGTGTTCCACAATCACGATCATATCTCGCCTAGAAAACAATAACGGTTTTGCCAGGTTGGGTACATTCGCCATGGAGACTGGTATGTATGTGATTAAAAATACAACCGAATTTATAGTAATAGTACATGGAGTGAGAAGCATCATATGATATAGGGTGCACAGGGTAATTTCAATATTTGTTGTCCAATTAAAAGCAAATATGCTACTTTATTCCGTCTGAACATACCAAAGGCTGAGTTTTAAGCTATTTTGTTTTGCATATAGACTGTCCATGTGACCCGGGCACTGGTCAAGGTGATCCACACTATGTGACATTTGACAGACAACACATCGATTTTAACGGCCCATGCAGCTACACTCTGTTAAATACGGTCCCGAACACTACTAATCATACCCTTCAAGTAGTTGCTAAACATGGAGAAGTGGTCAACAGATTTGTTAATGCTGATGCTCGTCGTATTGAGACAGCCTACTTATATATTGATGATCATACAGTTGAGCTACGAGACAACGGAGTGACAATTGTAAGTATTATGAGCACATGTCTGAGAGAATCAGCAGAGGGTGGAACATGGGGGTCGGCACATTTCTTTCATACTTTGAGGTTTTAATAGATTTAGTTTTAAACTAACAAAAATGGCATTAGAATTTTCTAATCAGTAATTATCTTCATAATTATCCCGAACCCTTAAAAATGGC